GGTCAAACATTAAAGATGAGTTTTCAGAATTGGTTCCGAGCTTTTGGGGACAGATTCTGTGTCCTGATTGGATGTTCCCAGAGGGCATGGCCATAAGTGGTCCACTGTTTTCTGCGGGCAAACTGCTGCTCAGTTTATCCCTTTGCAGATGCCTGAATGCAGGTCCCAACAGCCTTGTGCTATTGGAAGATCCCTGGTAACCAACCTGTTACTGGCATCCAATATTTTAGTTAAAATAAGAAAGACAATGGGGTGGATTATAAGTTTCTTATGGTAATTTTGGCAATAAAAAAATGATGGCTTTAGAAGCTGACTTTATGTTCCCATCATTGTCTCCATAAAGGAACTGAAAGCTGACGTCCCTATCAGGAATTACCCTGGAATAGTCAGATTTATTTCCTGGAGGGAAGGAAGCCTAACTCTACAGGTCATGGCATTACAAGGGTAACTGGATCTCCTTTGTTAAGCCTAGAGCATAGATAGGAAGAAAGAGGACCCTAAAGATTGGACTGGGGCTGTATAGGGGTGAGGGTATTTCATTCAGTAAAGCAAAGAGCACTACTCTGAAACTGAAGTCTCCCATGCTACTACAAGCAGCCCTCTCAACTGTGCTTGAAGAACTTCAGGTCTACTAAAGGGAGCTGCCTTCAAAACACTGTTGGGTCCCCCAAACCTGTCCCTGTAGCCCTTTTCCATTCAGACTCCCAAAACAGGCTCACATTCCAGCAGATGCTGGAAGGGTGAGGTACAGAATACAACCCACGAATGGGAGTAATAGGCACCACAACAACGGAACGATTCTGCCAAGCTCTAATGATGGAAATCTGGGGAACATGTGTGGGAGTGGATCTTACGAGTGTGGGATCAAGGAGGAAGAAATACGTAATTGGATCCAGCCAAACTAATTGATATGGACTTACTCACCAACAGAGACTCCAAATTGAATGTTTTTAGCCCGGGGGGGGGGTTCAAATGGCTCTAATAATTTACTTTGTTTGGCGAGAATATGAACCCAAAGTAGCTCTACTTTAAGTGAAGTTGAAATGCTAGAAGGTTCTGAAGTCCCACAAAGCAAAGGGCCATATGCCGAGGGAAATGGGAGTGCTGGAGTGGATAAATCATGTGACTGTGTTCATCCACTCAGAGCTCTGGAGAGCATGGCCTTCGCTATAGTGTTGAAAACTGAACCCCTGGGAGAAGTCCAAGCATCCTCAACTGGAGTGACAGGATCAAGGGTGGCAAAGGTGACATGCTATAAGGACCAGGGAAGGGGTGGACAAAGCAATACTAACTCTAACCCGGCTCAGGCAAGGGATAACATTGGAGATAATTGATCACCAAGTCCCTGCGTGGAAAGTAAAGGAAAGCTTATTAGGCTCTTATTTGGTCTGTGTAAAGAATTAAAGTCAGAGGACATGCCTTTAATCCCTGCCCTTGGGAGGCAGAGGCTGTTAGATCTCTGTGACTCTGAGGCCAGCCTGGTCTACCCAGTATGTTCCAGGAAAGTTAGGGCTATGTCTTAAAAAAAAAAAAATCACAGCCGGGCGGTGGTGGCACATGCCTTTAATCCCAGCACTCGGGAGGCAGAGGCAGGCGGATCTCTGTGAGTTCGAGGCCAGCCTGGTCTACCTAGTATGTTCCAGGACAGTTAGGGCTATGTCTTAAAAAAAAAAAATCACCACATGGCAATGACAGAACCATCCCATCTCCCTAGCCAGTTTTCAGATCTTAGCAGTTCAAATGTCCAGAGCCTGGAAGACACATTGCCAGAATTCACAGTTAAACTTCCACAAAATGGTGTGTGGTCGGGTACCAGGGTGATCAGGCACTGGAAGAAACAATCCAGTGTTCCCATGTCTGTTTCACACTGGCTCTGAACTAATTCCTTGAGACCCAATAACACCGTGAATGAAGAAAACCTTGGAAAACTTTAATTGGTTGCTATGGTAGCTTCTCAATCCTTGAAGGATTTTGCAGTGAATCCCATGATGGTAGCAATACACATATCTATTTAATAAAATATTTTGCTAAGTCCATTTTTGGAAGACAGATGTAACTCAGCCTGTGGCCAGTGCATAAAGCTACTCAGGTATGTATGATGATCTCTCTTTTCAGAAGTTGTGATGTACCAGTGAACTTTCACGAGAATAGAATACAAAGCTTGTTGACTTGGTCTCAGATTCCACACAACAGTTAACCTTTGAGAAATGGCCACTTGTTATGCTTTGGTTCAGTTTTATAGAAGAATATTCTACAAATGCAATGCTCTGAGAAAGCCAATGTTGGTTACTCGCATTCATGTGGCATGTCTGCGTGAGGCTCATGTTCCAGCACCCCTTCAGCCAAGGGATCATCCCACAACAGGCTACAACATTCATCTATCTTCCATTAGGATCTTAAGGAAATTATAAACTAGAAAATGGCACCCTATTCTAACAGGTGACGGTGTATGTAGACATGTGTATACAGGTACATGTGTGTTAGGGTACACGGATTGCCCGTGGAAGCACGAGGAAGAGCTAAGGTGTCATTCACCAGGTACCACCCACTATTGTTTTTATGGCAAAGTCACTCACTGGCCTGGAACTCAGTAAGTGGGCTATCTTGCTCAGAGAGATCTAGTCTATCCTCACATTCCAGCTCCCCAGGGCTAGAAGTGGAGGTGTCTGCCACCATCCTTGCTCGTTTAAATGTGGATTCTGGGGATCCATCTTTGTGAGCAAGCAGTCCCCGGGCTCATCTTTGTGAGATCCCCAGGCTCAGTTCCATTATTCTTATTAAGTTGTTTTGAATGTGTTATTTTTCATTTAAAAAACGTTTCATTTCTAAAGAATTAATGTGTTTATTTTTTAAACAAGCAAGACATTTTTCTCAGTTTTAATCTCTATTGTGGTGATTATTAAAGGTTAGAACTTACATAAATAAAAGTTCTTTGGGGTCCTTAGTACATTTTAAGACCATAAGCAAATTCCATAAGAACTGTTGCCAATAATCCTGGCAGCTGTACCCAAGGACTACAAAAGCATCAAAGATGAGCAAGAGTCAATTAGTCACACTGAATGGAAAGGGCACTGAATCTTCATGGTTCCACATATGCTATTATATTTGTCTTCATGGCCTGTCTTCATGGAATACCACAGTTTTGCATCAAACAACAGAAATCTATGATCTTACAGAGCCAGCAGGGACGGGGAGGGCTCTCTTCCTGACCTGCATGCAATCATCTTCTGGCGGTGTACTGCCATGACCTTTCTTCTGGGTACAAGAAGGAAGAGAGCTCGTTCCTCTTGTGTCTCTTCTTTCCCAAGGACATTGGCGTGAGTGTCTCCGAACTGTTGAGGATCTTGAGATTGATGAACAAGTGAGGACTGCTCTATTGATTGCACACTGTGACTCTACAGAGATCAAGGAAAGACCATGAAAGCTTTTCATCTGCTCTCCTTGCGGGGATGCCATGGTCAGTTACCCAACATCACACTGGCAGACTCCAGTCATGACTGTTGGCGGTGAAGGCCTCAGCCTTATGACTTAGGCTGTGTTTTGGCTGTTGAATACCTTCCAAAGACTCATATATGAAAAGGTGTTCTTTCTAGGTCGGTGGTGTTGGGAAAACCTGGGAATCCTGGCTTAGTGGGTCATCCTTCCATCATGGCCTTGAAGACTCTTGTGGAATACTAGTCTCTTCCTGGCTCAAGACACACTGTTATCAGGATAAGCACCACCTTTATCAGAGCCCCTTGAGCTATCTGATCTTGAGCTTGAAGGGCTAGTATTGTAACTTACATAAACCTCTTTTTATTTGATAAGTACATTGTGTCTGGTATTTCATTATAGTGATAGAAAGCTAATACAATCTCACAACTATCATTAAGTTCTTTAAAAAAAAAGATTTGATTTTTTAAAAATTAAAAAATTAAGTTTATAATAATATTATAACATTTGTCCTTTATCTTTTCTCCCACTAACCCCTCCCAAATACCCCCTCAACTCCCCTTCAAATTTATGGCCTCTTTTTTTTCAAATTGTTATTATATACATATATGTATGAGAGTATACATATATATATATCTCCATGATGATTCTTGTATGTGTGCTATATGTTCATGTCCATGTATGTGTGTGCAAGTTCTCGTTTACATGCTGTGTGTGCATGTCCATGCATGTGTGTGCATCAGGTGTCTTCCTCTGTTGACTCCATTTATTCTTTTGAGACAAGAGTCTCACTGAACCAATTCAGATAGACCCACTGGCCAGCAAGTGCCAGAGATCATTCGTTCTCAGAGCTACTATCACAACCGTGTGGTGCTGAACTCAGCATTTTACATGGATTCTGGGGACCCCACTAGGGTCCTCATGTTTACACAGTAAGCAATTTACCAACTGCATCATTGCCCCCCCCCCCATGCAGTTACTGCTCATATCTGCTGCTGCAATTCACACAGTACGCAGCCAAGCAGGAGAACCGTGACAGTGCTGAGGGTAGAGCAAACATGAAGTCGGGTGGGGGAAAAAAAACGTGAGAAAAGTCAGGCAAGTCTTCGAGTAGCTAATAACCAGGTACATCTCAAAGAGGGTTTCATGAGTGGGCAAGACAATGGATATTTTTTGCCAGACAGCCTTGAGAGCTTGTCGAAAGAAGCATATTCCCTGCAAAGTAGTTAGGAAATTCTGGGGAAGAAGCAATGTGTCATAAAGTAGCAGCAGCTCGAAAAACACGGAGGCATGCCACTCTCCAAGTGGGATCCTGCTTTAGATGAGCCGGTGCTGGGCCACCATGAGCAAGGCCTCTTCTGCTTTTCCTCCTATTGTTCGCTCTTTCAGTCATCCTATGGTTTAGGGTGCTTTCTGAGTTCACATTCCAGCCAGCGTGTGGTGGTATCTTGTTTTTAAAAATAAAGCTTGCCTGTAGATCGGAGGGCGGAGCTAGCCGCTAGCTAACCATAGAGGTCTGGAGGTCTGTGCAAACAGACAGGAAGTGATTTGGCTGGGCAGAGGAGGAAGTGGTAAGGCAGGAGGAGACAGGAGCGAACTCCCCTTTTCGGCTGGGAAGTTTATTAGGTAAGCTGGCTGTGGTTTTCCTCCTTCTCTCTCTGTTCTCTCAGCATTTTCCCCCTGTATCTGACTCGGGGCTTTTATTATTAAGACGTTTTAGAACTCGCGCTATGCCAACAGACAAAAGGAAGGGAAAGGAAAAGAGCCCAGACCAGTCTCAGCTCTTAAAGCACCCTAAGGCTGCCTCCTCCCTAGTCTGTGTATGTATCACTGACCAGGGCGTGATGACATGGATGTGCATTGCTTCAAAGGATGCTAAGAATCTTAGCCCTCATTTCAGAAGTTGTATATATCCCCTAGATCTATGGATTCTATAGAAGTGGGGTGAGATATATTAAGGGAGAAATACCGTTTTCTGCTTGAGGAGCATTTTAAACCATGAATGAATCTCTAGGTTAAATCTCCAGCCACCTCTTTGGAAGAAACAAAATGTTTTTCTCCTTTCCCATCCCAAGACTTTCCACTTATCTTCCCTCTCTGGCCAAAGCACTTCTGGTCCTGATAGTCATTTTTCCTGAAGAGGCAAGAAGGAACATCTTTGTTAGTGTTTGAAACCTGTTTGAAAGTCTAGTCTAGAATTTCATTTTCCCTCTCTCTCTCTTTCTTTTTTTGGTGTTTTTTTTTTTTTTTTTTTTTTTTTTTTTTTTTTTTTTTTTTTTTTTTTTTTTTTTTTTTGAGACAGGGTTTCTTTGTGAAACAGTCCTGGCTGTCCTGGAACTCACTCTGCAAACTCACAGAGATCCATCTGCCTCTGCCTCCCAAGTGCTTGGGTTAAAGGTGTGTGCCACCACCACTTGGCACATGAATGTCTTTCTCTTTAGGGACACTAAATCCTGATATGAATGAGACCTTGGTTATCTTGAGGAGTAGCTTCCAAAGGGCTTACACATTAAAGCCCATGGACTGAGCCTGCTTCTCATGCATACTTAGAAGTAAAATTTAATTGTTTAATTGGGGCACAGAGATTCTCGTTATGTTATGCATTGTCTGGTTGTTGCCTTCAGGCTACAGGATTACACACTTCTCACTCAGTTTCCTCTTCTGTTGGCTGGAATGTCAGAGACACACATAGAAGGGGCCAAAGTTACCATGGAGTAGAAAACTATCTTTGAAGTCCAGGACCGAGAGGTGAACTTCCCCGGTTAAAAATGTCTACCTTTTATCTTGAGGTTAAGTATATCATTTGCTCAAATCAAAAAGATGTCTTTATTTTTATTCTGATTGTATATCGTCTGTATGTATTTGTACCACATGCATGCCTGGTGTTCAGGGAGGTGAGAAAAGAGTGTTGGACCCCTGGAGATGAAATTGCAAATGGTTGTGAGCTGCCATGTGGTTCTGGGAACTGAACCCAGGTCCTCTGCAAGAGCAGCCAGTGCTCTTAACCACATGCTGTCTCTCCAGCCCCATCTATTATCAAGACAAAAATGAGAAGAAAATCACATAGAAGGTATTCGTCCACCAGTGTGATGGTCAGTCTTCATTGTTAGTGTCATTGGATTTAGAATCACCCATGAGATTTATGAGACAGAGCCCTGCAATATCACCGAGAGCATTCCAGAGAAAATTAGCTGAATTGGTAAGACCTTTCCTAAATAAATGGCACCATCCATAGGCTGAGGACCCAGGTGAAAAGGACAGGGAAGAAGATGAGCCAGCAGAGCACTGTATTCCCCTCTCTGCTTTCTGTGCATCATTTGAGCCACTCTGCTCTACTCTACCTTTGCAGCCATGATAGAGCATTTTGAAGCCTTGGGTTAACATTGCTTTCTTCTCATTTTTTTAAATTTTCTTTTATCTCCTCCCCTATCTTCTCCCAGATCCTCCCCAGCTCCCTCCCACCCCAAACTTATATATTCTTTCTTTCTTCCTCTTTCTCTCTGAAAAAACAAAACAAAACAAAACAAAAAAAAAACAAATAAAACCTAAAACCAAAATACTCCACAAATATACCCACTAAAAAAATAAAAGCAAACAAGCCAAAGATCAACAAGCCAAGCCAAAACAAAACAAATTGAAACAAAAAAAAAAAAAAAACACAAAAAGTGTTGTGTTGGCCTGCCTTGCGTGTGAATAGTATACTCAGTGATACTCCATTGGAGAAAATGAATTCTTCCTTTGCCATTGGGTATCAATTGCACATTGCTTCTTGGGTAGGGGTGGGATCTTATCTCCATTTCTCTCTTGGTGCTGAGATCCAGTTTGACTTAAACCTGTGCAGGTCCCATGTGTGCTGCCACAGTCTCCGTGAGTTCATGTGTACCTCAACCCTGTTGTGCCTGGAAGACATTGTTTCCTTGCAGTCATCAGCTCTGGTTCTTATACTCCTTTTCCTTCTTCTTCCTAACAGGTCCCTAAGCCTTAAGGGGATGGGTTTGATGAAGACATTCCTGTTAGGACTGAGTGTTCCCAAGTATTTCAACTTCTGGACATTGTCCAGTTGTGGGTCTCTGTGTTAATCCCTACATGCTATAAGAAGAAGCTGCTCTGGTGTGGGCTGAGCAAGGAACTGACCTATGGCCATAGCCATATGTCATTAGGAGTAATTTTATTCCTATGTCCTTTTATCAGAATAATAATATTAGACATTTCCACGGCCAATTGTTGTAAGAAACTGATTATTTGTTCCTGGCTGCTCAGCCTCGAAATAACCATACAGACTGTATTAATTAAATCACTGCTTGGCCTGCTAGCTCTAACTTCTTATTGGATAACTCTTACATATTAATTTAGCCCATTTCTATTAATCTATGTATCACCACATGGCTGTGGCTTACCAGGCAAAGTTCCATCCAGCATCTGTCTCTGACAGGGCTACATGGCTTCTCCTTACTTAGCTTTCCTTCTCCCAGCATTCAATTTAGTTTTTCCCACCTAGTTCTACTCTGCCCTATCAACAGGCCAAGACAGTTTCTTTATTAACCAATGGTATCAAGCATACAGAGGGGAATCCCACACCAGCCAGTGACCTATCTAGTCTCAGGTTTTTGGCCACTTTAGTACTATCAGCTATGGGTTCCATTTTATGGAGTTGGCTTTAGATATAATCAGAAAGTGGTGGGTTGCTTAACATTTGTTCCGCCATTGCATTATTATATCATGTAGGCAGGTAACCGTTGTAGGTCACAGGGTTTTGTAGCTGGGTGATGTTGATGATTGCCTTTCTCCTCTGGTATCATGCAGAGGACACAAACCGTAGTCAGTAGGGGGAAGCTTCTAGTTGGGCACCAGATCAATTTTTCTGTGTTCAATGACATAAATAAGGGCTGTCTTCAGCAATTGGACCTTATCATACGGTTGTGGAAAGCAACCAGCTGCCTTGGTTGCTTGGTGTTTGAGGGATTCTATGGGATCCCTTTGGCCAGTAACTCAACAAGATATAAAACATGGTAGGCTGGAGAGATGGCTCAGAGGTTAAGAGCACTGGCTGCTCTTCCAGAGATCCTGAGTTCAATTCCCAGCAACCACATAGTGGCTCACAACCATCCGTAAGGAGATCTGGTGCCCTCTTCTGGGTTGCAGGGATACATGCTGGCAGAACACTGCATAAATAAATAAATAAATAAATAAATAAATGATATGAAACATGCTATCACTGGAGGTGTGACTTAGTAACATAAGATGTCTACTAGTGACATTGTCTCCCCCATTATTTGGTGACTCCATTTAGATTTTTTTTTCATATATGTATATATTTTAGGCAGCTTCTACAGTAGTAGGATTCCATATATATTTTTTTTCCAAATGGCCTTTGGTGTTAGTGGTTCCTCCCCACAATCCCTTTTCAACCTTTCTCTCTTATTCCTGTTCCCTCTCTAGTCTCCCCATCTTCTCTCCCTAGCAATATATTCTATTTCTCCTTCCATAGGTTATCTTCTCCATCCTGGTCCCTTACTAGATTGCTATCCTCTGTGATTATTTGTATTATATCCACATATAATAGAATACATTTAACATCCACATATAAGAGAATACATTCAATATTTGTCTTTTGGGGTCTGGGTTACCTCATTCAGATGATTTTTTTTTCTAGTTCCATCCATTTATGTACAAGTTTTTGTTTTCTTAACAAACATGATATTCCATTGTTTTTATACCACATATAAAGCATACCACATTTTTATCAGCCATTCATCAGTTTATGAGCATCTCCACTGTTTCCAATTTCTGTCTATTATGAATAGAGCAGCATTGAACACGAATGAGCAGAAATCTCTGTAGTAGGATATAGAGTTGTTTGTGTATACCCCAGAGTGGTCTACCTAGATCTTGAGGTATATCATTTTCCAGATTCCTAAGGAATGACTACACTGATTTTCATAGTGTCTATTTGGGCTGCCACTAGCAATGAGTAAGTGTGTCCCTTATCCTGAATCCTTGAAAACTTGAGTTGTCACTTGTATTATTGATCTTGGCCATGACTGCGGAAAAATGAAATCTCAGAATGGTTTTAATTTGCATTTCCCTGGTGATGAAGGATGTTGAACATTCTTTTCATTGTTTTTCAATCTTTTGTGTTTCATCTTTTGAGAAATCTCTGCTTAGCTCTGTACCCCAGTTTTTACTTGAATAGCTTTCTTGGTGTTCAGTGTATACACTAGCTTTTTATCAGCTGTTTCATTGGTAAAGGTCTTTCCCCGTTCTGTAGGTTGTCCCTGGACCTGAATGATGGTATCCTCTGTTGTCTTTACTTTTCTCATTTTGTATTTTGTTTGTTTATTTGTTTTTTTTTTTTTGTTTTGTTTTGTTTTCTGAGACAGGGTTTCTCTGTAGTCCTAGCTGTCCTGGAACTCACTTTGTAGACCAGGTAGGCTGGCCTAAAACTCAGAGATTTTTAACACCAAGCGGTGAGATTAAAGGCATGCTCCACCATGCCCACCTCTCTTATCGTACAGGCGATTTTTAAATAGTTCAGGAGCACAAAATGTCTGGTATATTGGGAGTACAGACATTTTAAATTAACTATTCTCTTTCCTTTTTGAGAATTTAAATGTAACAATTTCATA